CTAGATAATTACATTATCTAGAAGCTCTAGATAATTACATTATCTAGAAGCTCTAGTTCAGGCATCCCTGAACTAGTGCCTGGAACTGGTTGAGCTTCTTACCCATGAACAATAGCTGACCGGGATCCTGGAGTAGACTCTTTAGATAAACAGTATTATGTAAATAGCCTGTCGTTGGGAGTGGGGTGTGTTTGGATGTGGTGTTTGCATGCTTTATAACAGGGCTGATTCCCTGGGGTTGAGTGCTAGTAGTGTCCCTGAAATCACTAATAAAGTATCATAGAATTTTAGAGTTGGAAGGGACCTTGCAGGTCATCTAGTCCAACCCCCTGCACCCTGTAGGAGCATAGCCAAAAGATAGCCCTACATACCTACAACAAGTGTTCCCTCTAAACTGAGTTAGTGTGAGCTAGCTCACAGTTTTTTAGTCTCCAGTTCACGCATTTTTGTCTTAGCTCAGGAAGGACGGCTCCAGAGCAAACTAATTTATGCAGTAGCCAAATCGCTCACTCACAACTATAAAGGCAGTAGCTCACAAAGCAGAATTTTTGCTCACAAGACTCCACAACTTAGAGGGAACACTGCCTACAACATACCCGAAAGTCCAGCCTCTGCTTGAAAACGTCCAGCGAAGGAGCATCCACCACCTCCCGAGGCAGACTGTTCCACTGCTCAACCACTCTTACAGTTAGGATGTTTCTCCTGATATTTAGCCGTTAACGACTCCCTTGTAATTTCCACCCATTAGATCTAGCCTTGCAATCCGGAGCAAGAGAGGATAGATCTGCTCCATATTCTACATGACAGCCCTTCAAATACTTGAAGACTGCAATCATGTCTCCTGTAAGCCTTCTCTTTCCCAGGCTAAACATACCCAACCCTTTCAGCCTTTCCTCATAAGACTTGGATTCCAACCCTCTCACCATCCTAGTTTCCCTCTTCTGGACACGCTCGAGCTTGTCAACATCCTTCCTAAATGTGGTGCCCAAAACTGGACACAGTACTCCAGGTGAGGCCTGACCATAGCAGAATAGAGCGGAACTACAACCTCCCGTGATCTGGACACAATGCTTCTGTTAATGCATCCTAGCTGTTTCACTGCAATGCATCCAGAACCCAGTATTTAACATCCCCCGCCACAGAGAACAATGAGATCATATACTTCCCAAGGTGTTCTCAACACACTCGGGAGGCCCCTGCATGAGACCTGTTACAAGCTGATACTAGCCAAGCAAGCAGACACATCCACTCCCCCCCCCCCGCTGCCAGTTCCCAGCAGAGATGATAACCAGCAGTGAAGAATAGCAAGGCTGCGTGTGACACAGCAATTGTAAAAGAATACATGTGAATCCATAACACAACCAGTGAAATAATGAAATGAAATGAAATGTGGGGCAGTAACCCCTAATGCAACAGAACATGAGTGTAAGAAAACAGGAAATATTTCGCAAGTGAGGCCCGAGCTTGACAGGTGGAGCTTGGAAGGGCTTGGCGAATGCGACACTCCACTTCAAGAGGAGGGCTGGAGCTGCAGGCTGAGCAGGGTGTGGGGGAGGGCGAGGCGGAACGGGCCACGGATCCGGGCAGAGGAGAAGAGTCCGGACCAGCAGGTGAAAGGGATTCATCTAGGTACAGTCAGTGGGGGCACTGGATATGAACACAGATACTCTTCAAATCCACACTGATTGCCCCGGCTTTTTTTTAATTTTTATCCAAATTTTATTTAAACATTTAAACAAAAGATAAAAGGAGTGAAAAGACAAAAACAGGAAAAAGAGGAAAGGGGGGGGGGAGTCAACTATAACAGTTGGAAACAGAAAGGAGGAGGAATATCTGATTTTCTCTGTTACAACAAGCCATACGTTTACATATTGCAACCTTAGTCTGAAATCAGATTAAAGGAAGTACATCTCCTATGTAAACTTATTATCATGAGTCGTCAATTCATTTTTTTCTGTTTCACGCAAGAGGGGTTTCCATATAGCTATACATTTAAGTAATAAGGGGTTTCCATATAGCTATACATTTCAGTAATGTCTTTTCCTTTATCAGAGAAGTAAGTCTGGCCATCTCTGCAAGTTGCCATCATCTTCCCTAACCATTCCTCTACTGTAGGGAATGTCGACGTTTTCCACTTTTGAGCATATAATAGTCTTGCTGCCATGGTCATATACAAAAACAACGCTCCATAAGTATTTTCGAATTGTTTATCCATTAGTCCCAACAAAAAGGCCTCTGGTTTCAATTGTATATTAATCTTTAGAATCTTCTAGATGAATGAATGTATTTTAAAAGGTTTTTGCCTAAAAATGTTGAAGAATTGCTGATATATTGTGGTTGGTCATGCCTGAGGCGGCCGCAATTTTGTTTCACCTACTACCCTGTGACAGGATTCCATAGGTGCTCACAGGCTCAAAATGGTTGGGGACCCCTGCTCTAGGAAAACAAACTGCCCCTCAAGCCAGAAAGTATCCCTTCCCCTCTCCCGATTTTGGTGACAGAAATTTTGGACGCTGCTTCCTTATACCCAATAGAAGAAGAGGAGGAGATTGGATTGATACCCCACCCTTCACTACCCAAAGGTGTCTCAGAGGGGCTTACAAACTCCTTTCCCTCCCCCCCCCAACAACAGACACCCTGTGAGGTAGATGGGGCTGAGAGAACTCTTGACAGAAACTGCTCTTTTTTCAAGAACAGCTCTTAACACAACTATGGCTTGCCCAAGGTCATCCAGCCAGATGCAAGTGGAGGAGTGGGGAATCAAACCCGGCTCTCCCAGATTAGAGTCCGCACACTTAACCACTACACCAATAGTGCCTCCCCGCCATGTCAGGGTAGAGCGCCACCTCTTCTTGCATCCTTGATAGTAATGCTGAAGGTGTTCTCTCTGTCTTTCAAAAAAATCCTCCCTAGCTATCTGCTTGCAAGGTGTGACCTTGGGTCAGTCACAAGCAATGCTCCTTCTAAGCTGTGGAGTCTTGTGAGCAAAAATTCTACTTTGAGATCTACTAGCATTAAAATTGTGAGTGAGCGATTTGGCTGCTGCATAAATTAGTTTGCTCTGGAGCCCTCCTTCCCGAGCCAAGACAAAAATGTGTGAGCTGGAGGCTAAAAACCTGTGAGCTAGCTCACACTAATTCAGTTTAGAAGGAACACTGGTCCCAAGTCCTTTCAAAGCTGTTCTCGAAAGAGCTCTCTCAGCCCCACCTACCTCACAGGGTGTCTGTTGTGGGGTTGGGAAGGAAAAGAAGATTGTAAGCCACTGTGAGACTCCTTCTGGCAGTGAAGGGCAAGGTATAACTCCAATCTCTTCTTCTTCTTTTTCTTAAATGAAAGCTAAGATTCTCAGGAAGCTGGCTTCTGGATAACAGAATGGCAGTATCTCTACATGTCCTTGGATAGGTTTTCTTTTTCCGTATTCCTATTTCAACCTCCTGTCTCCTAGCCTGCAGGCTCCCTTCTTTGCAGCCCTTTAAAAAATGGCCTGTTGCTTAGAGAATCCTCCCTCCTCTGCCTAGAAGACCTCCATCACCTCATGTCTGTCCACGTGGTCCTCATTTCCTTTTTGCATCTTCAGCCTGTAGATTCTTTCTCTCAATCCCCATTTCCCCCTGTTTGAAATTAACAGACAGCAACACTTTCTTAAAAAGCGAGTACCTGCCCTGGGTGGCTCGTAGAGTTAAAAATGAATTTAAGACACAGAGTTGAGAGAGAGAGATAAAGAAAAAGAAAGAAAGAAAGAAAGAAAGAAAGAAAGAAAGAAAGAAAGAAAGAAAGAAAGAAAGAAAGAAAGAAAGAAAGAAAGAAAGACTTCCAAACTCACTTTCACCCTCATACCTACCTCCAGTGACCCACTTACAAAATAAGATAACCAGAACAGGCATACATAAAAGGGATATGGTAGATCTGCCCCTCTTCTGCACAAGCTATGTGGTGCACAATATAGAAGCTATGAGTCAAAACTACTGAAACTGGAATCGTGACAAAACCAGCTGCGATTCCAAAGCTCAATATAAAACTGTCCATCAACTTAAACATTGGATGGGGCTCATCAATTCTCAGAATCATCTCAGTGGATGATATAATTAAAATCCTCAAAGTATGAAGCCAGAAGAAATGAATGCAGACAATATCAGAGCAGGAGGACATCACAGTATGTCCCAGCAGAGCAACATATAAGCGAGGAATTGGTTTGTCTGTTGTATGGGTACACACTCACCAACACCAATGGAGCAATAACCTTAATCATGCTAATGGATGGGACAGAAACGAGAATTGCCAGGGCCCAGGTAAGAAGTGCAAAAAAAATTTTTTTTTGAAAACACCACTGAATTATTGGTCCACACAATGAGTTTGGTTGCTGAAGGGGCAGAGCAGGCCCGTAGCTTTGTATGTTTCCCAAAGGCTCATGGGAGTGCTTTTGAAAGACTCACCATGACCTAGGTGGTATACAGCAGGACTGGGCTACCAGAAAGGGGGATTCTTGGAGATGTACTGAAGGTACCACTCTTGAGTGCCCCTCTAAGCTTTCTTGCCCTGTGGAAGGGAACTCAAAAGGCATTTAAGGCAGAGAGAAGAGATTGGATTTATACCCCACCCTTTACTACCCGAAGGAGTCGCAGAATGGTTTATAATCTCCTTTCCCTTCCCAACCCCACAACAGACACCCTGTGAGGTAGGTGGGGCTGAGAGAGGTCACACCAGCAGCTGCACATGGAGGAGTGGGGAATCAAACCCAGTTCTCCCAGATTAGAGTCCGCGCTTCTAACCACTACACCAAACTGGCTCCCATTTAAATGCCCTCTGAACTGTTTTTTTTTTCCTGTTTGCTGCCCTGTTCCTTGAAAGGAAGGGCTAGAAACAGGCTCGGAGCCTCCCCCTTTAAAGACAGGCATTCAGATTAATTTACTGTAATTTAACTGCCCACTTAAAATTTTAAATGTCCCCGCCCCCCGAACTTTCTTCTTTGTCGCTTGACTTTTGCTCTACAGCAGGCTAAGTCAGCTATCCTCTGGAAAATCAGCAGGTGCAGCTTCACCAAACACCACAGGTTTCTCTCCGGTGTGAATTCTTAAATGCGAATTCAGGTGTGTGCTCCGACTGAAACTCTTTCCACACTCGAGGCATTTAAAAGGTCTCTCCCCTGTGTGGATTCTTTTATGTAAAGTAAGGGTTTCACTATGGCTGAAGCTTTTTCCACACTCCAGACATTTAAATGGTTTCTCCCCTGTGTGAGTTCTCTGATGTCTAAGAAGGTTTGCACTACGACTGAAGCTTTTCCCACAGTCTAAACATATGAATGGTTTCTCCCCAGTGTGCAGTCTCTGATGAGAAGTGAGGTTCGTGCTTCGACTGAAACTCTTCCCACACTCCAGGCATATAAATGGTTTCTCCCCTGTGTGCAGTCTCTGATGACTGGTGAGCCGTGCAGAACAAACAAAACTCTTTCCACACTCCAAACATATGTATGGTTTCTTCCCAGTGTGAATGCTTTGATGTAAAGTCAGACTTGTGCTCACACTGAAGCTCATTCCACACTCTAGACATATATATGGTTTTTCCCCTGTGTGAATTCTTTGATGGTAAGTTAGATTTGCACTTCGACTGAAACTCTTTCCACACTCAGAGCATGTGTATGGTTTCTCTCCTGTGTGGATTTTTTTATGTGAAGCTAAATGTGTACTACGATTGAAGCTTTTCCCACACTCTGAGCATTGATATGGTTTTTCCCCTGCATGGATTCTTTCATGAGAAGTTAGATCTGTTTTCTGTTTGAAGCCTTTTCCACACTCTGAACATTTATATGGTTTATCCCCTGAGTGGACTCTCTGATGGGAAGTAAGGGTCGTTCTCTGACTAAAACTCTTCCCACACTCCAAACAGGTAAATGGTTTTTCCCCAGTGTGGATTCTCAGATGCGATATAAGGTTGTGACTCCAATTGAAGCTCTTTCCACACACTGTACAAATAAATGGTTTCCCCCCTGTGTGGATTCTGAGGTGTCTAGTAAGTCTTTCCTTCCAACGGAAACTCTTTCCACACTCTGAGCATTTATATGGTTTCTCCCCTGTGTGGATTTTGTAATGTCTAGTAAGTTTTTCTCTCCGACTAAAGCTCTTTCCACACTCCAGGCATGAGTATGGTTTCTCCCCTGTGTGGATTCTCAGATGGGACATGAGGCTGTAGTTCCAGATAAAGGTTTTCCCACATTCTGGGCATTTATATGGTTTTTCTCCAGCATGGATTTTCCAGTGAGAACTTAGACTGGATTTCCAGCTGAAGCTCTTCCCACACACAGGGCACTGCCTCTTTTTCTTGTCTTGGTCCACTGCTTCTTGGACTGCGATTTCACAGAAGCCGTCTCCCTGAGGAGCAGATGATTCATTTGCCTTCTCCTGCTCCGAGTCAGTTTCCATTCCTTGCTGCTGCCATCTTGCCTTTTGCAACAGTGCCCAGCGCGGCTCTCCCTTGTTCTCAGAGTCCCACGAAGAACCTGGTGGGATAAAGAGAAGAAAGCTGCATAACGAGAAACAGAGCCTGAAATCAAAAATACCTCTTGGAAGAGGCAGACCTTCCCACCTCTGAAATCCTCTGTTCAATGGCATTCACTATGGCAACATTCACTAGCGGCAAAAAAATAATGGCAACACTAAAGAGAGCCAGTGTGGTGTTAGTGGTTAACAGTGGAGGATTCTAATCTGGAGAACCAGTGTTGATTCCCCACTTCACATGAAGCCTGCTGGGCGACCTTGGGCCAGTCACCGTTCTCTCAGAACTCCCTCAGCTCCACCAGCCTTACAAAGTGACTGTTGTGGAGAGGGGAAGGGAATGTCCACGTAAGCCGCTCTGAGACTTCTTAGGGTAGAGAAAAGCAGGATGCAAGAACCAACTCTTCTTGTTCTTGTTAAGCATTTTAATGTAATCATTTGAAGTGTTTTGTTATGTTGCAAATGGCTTCAACTGTGTTGTCCTGAAGAGGTATCACACAAATATTTGAAACAAAAACACACACCAAAAAAGCAAGGAGGGGGGAGGAATAGGAGGCGGAGGAGGAGGAGGAGGGGAGATTGGATTTATACCCCGCCCTCCACTTGGAGTCTCAGAGCGGCTTACAGACTCCTTTCCCTTCCCCTCCCCACAACAGGCACCCTGTGAGGTGGGTGGGGCTGAGAGAGCTCTGACACAAACTGCTCTTTTTCAAGGACAGCTGTGCCAGAGCTTGTGACTGACCCAAGGTCACATCAGCAGGTGCAAGTGGAGGAGTGGGGAATCAAACCCGGTTCTCCCAGATTAGAGTCTGCACACTTAACCACTACACCAAAGCCGCTCCTAGATCATCCCAACTGGAATATGGAGTTTGGCCCCGTAATCCTTTCAAAAGTGAGGATGCAGATCCTGCTGTATATTAAACAAACCTGGGTCCCTGCCACACGGGGGGAAAGGAACAGGCAAAAGTGCGGCTTTATAAAGCCGCACCAAAAGAAACACGCAGCGGCGGGATCACATTCCCTCCCCGGCACGACCAGATGCCGGGGAAAGTGACAGTGGGGAACGGGAGACTGCCGAACTGCGGATGTCTGAGCATGCGCAGTTCAGCCAGGAGCCAGGGATGCGTGGGCAGAAGGACGCGTCGGCGATCCCACAGCCGGCCTTGATGCAGCCGCGCTGGAAGAACCACCTCGGTAGGTGGTGTATTTTTGCTGCGCCTTTTCGGGGGCTGGGACTGATCGGGGACGGGTGCGCACCGCTTCCCAGACGTTGCGGTGAGATCGCGCCCGTTTGCTGCGCCCCCAATCCGTCCCTCTCCCGGGCCAAACCTTTACGTGTGACCGGGGCCCTGGTTAATATTAAGTGGGGATTCTTCAGCAGCCTAAGAATGAATTCTGTTTATCTGGGGCAATTATTGAGACGTTGTTTATTCTTTAGTCAGTAAACAATCAAACACAAACTTTATTGGTGAGCCAGAATACTCCACAACGGTACAGAGAAGGGGTCTGACTCCCCAAACTGTCCACTGAGGGGCTTACTGGATCATCAACGCCTTTGGTCCTAATTTGGTTCCGTCCTTCATTTGGAAGAAGACATTTCTTGTAAAAACTCAAAGCATTAATCTTGACACAAAAGATTCTTCCTGGTGAAAACCCCTTCATCCGTATCATTTGTGTGGTTCTATCTTGTGATGAAGTGCAGTGGAAGAAAATTCTGAAGGAAAAAAACGATGCATGCAGCAAGATGAAGTCTTAGGGTGGGTGGGACTATTTAAGATTCAAGGAGAGGATGCTTCATACACTCACAACATTAAAAAACACACCCGAAAACAGGACCACGACTAAGAGAAAGTATCCAGCCTGGCCCTTTCTGTCCAGAGAGGTTTTTTGTGCTCGCTCTCTCTCTCTTTTACATAAAGGGAGGAGGAGGAGGAGATTGGATTTATACCCCGCCCTTCACTTGCAGTCTCAGAGCGGCTTACAAACTCCTTTCCCTTCCCCTCCCCACAACAGACACCCTGTGAGGTCGGTGGGGCTGAGAGAGCTCTTTCGAGAACTGCCCTTTAGAGAACAGCTCTGACAGAACTATGGCTTGTCCAAGGTCATCCAGCAGCGGCAGGTGGAAGACTGGGGAATCAAACCCGGTTCTCCCAGATTAGAGTCCGCACACTTAACCACTACACCAAACTGGCTCAGCATCCACAACTTGGATTCTTCCCCTGCAGACTAAAGCCCTATAATCTGCTCCAGTCCCTGCCACCTTTTGCCACTAAATTTATAGATCTGGCATTTGGTTGAGGACAGCGATGGCTGGCATTCTCTCATACCACCCCTCTGTACCCCCTTACCGAGGGGGCTGGCAGGAACAGAAATTTCTCATCATCCCACACAATGTAACATATTACTTGACTAATATATTGTTTTTTCATAGTTTTTAATGTTATTTAATGGATTAATATTGTGCTGGTTTTGATGTAAGTCACCCCGAGCCTTGCTTGCAGGGAAAGGCCGCCTAACAAGGTGGAATAAATAAATTAATTAAATTAGTCTCTATTTCCCAGACAGTAAAAGGAGGGAAAGGCTTCAGAGCTGGCAGAAACAAAACAAAACTGAAAGATTCAAGATCCCAACCAAAACAGAAAGGAGGGGACCTTTGGGCAAACTCTGCATTAAAAGAAGGCACGAGGGGTTGCAGCTCAGTTGCAGAGCCTCTGCTTGGCATGTAGAAGGTCCCATGTTCAATCCTTGGCATCTCCTGGTAAAAGGACACTCCACTCCACTCCACCCGAGACTTCCCTCCCACGAGTGCTCGTAAATGGCTCTGTGTCTACGTGGAGTGGAGTGCCGCAGGGCTCAGTCCTGGGCCCAGTGTTGTTCAATGTTTTTATAAATGACCTGGAGGAAAACCTAGAGGATAATCTGAAAGACCCAACACCTGAGACCTCGGAGAGCTGCTGCCAGTCTGAGTAGACAATACTGACCTTGATGGTAGGGTTGCCAAGTCTATCTTCGCCAGGAGCGGGGGGCTCCCGGCCGGTGTCTTGTGTGCGCGCACGCGAAGCACGCACGCGCCGCACGTCACCCGGAAGTGATGGGAGGACGCCAGGCAAGCTGGGGGCGGGGCCACGGCCATATAAGGGAAAACCATAGAGTTTTCCCTTGTATGGCTGTGGCCCCGCGCCCGGCGTGCCCGCATCACTTCCGGGTGACGCGCACGTCGGGGTGGAGTTCCCCCCGGGGCCCGATCCGGTGGCGGCAGGGAATGGGCCTCTAGGGCGGGGGTTTCCCCGTCCCCCGGGGGGACTTGGGATCCCTACTTGATGGACCAGTGGTCTGATTCAGTATAAGGCAGCTTCATGTGTTCGTGTCCATGACTATGAGGTACAGAACTCATAAAACCACAAGAGATCAGAAGGAGCTAAATAAATTATAGCAGTGCCAGCTAGAACTGTATCTGAGTATCTCATGAATTTGAATGATATTAAAGCCCACGGATTTTAATATGCAATTATTGTTTTTAAATGGTCTGTAATAGGGGTGGGCATGAACCCCCCCCCCCCGAAAAAAAGTGGTTTGTTTCATTTCAGGGTGGCCCCAAACCAAACCCTGAACCGAACCAACCCAAAAGGACCCCATCTGAACCGAGCCAGTCCGGTGAGTTCGGTTCCCCCTTTCTCCCAGCTGTGGCAAGCCACTGGTGGGAGAAAGGGGGCAGAAAGGACTTCCCTTCCACCTTTCTCCTGGCCACAGCTTGCTAGGGTCAGGAGACAAGGAGGAAACTCAATGGCTTTACTTCCCTCCGCTTCAAAGGGGAGAAAGTGAAACCAAAGGGTTTAATGGAGCACAGCCATTTAAACCTAACAGCTCGGCAGGTCTGCCTGACAGCTGTTAGGTTTAAATGGCTGGCAGCCATTTAAACCTAACAGCTGACCAGCAATCCCTGCACTGCTCAGCTGTCAGGTTTAAATGGCGGCCCTGAACAACCAAACTGGCCACAAGACTGGGAAATGTTGGGGGAAGGCATCTTTCCCGAACATTGGTTCGCAAACTCTGAACCGGCCGAATTTTGGTTTGTGAACAGTTCATCCCCGTCTCTAGTCTGTAAACTGCCTCAAGTACCTTAAGCATGGGAAAGGAATTATTAGCACAAACAAATTAATCTGAAGAACTTTCACAAATCCAAGGCAATCAAAGGAGCCCCCGAAACATGGTTCCTACCAGCTGTGTTCTCTCCCTCGCTGGAGGCCTGGGCAAACAACTGTCTTCCTTCTTCTTCTCTTCTGTGATTTTCTAGCCAGAAGATGAGGTCAGGTTTTGGAACTGTAAAGTCCCCTGCGAGGGCCAAAAAAGGGAGAGAATCAAAGTCGTATGAGATACTTCTGGCCTTGGCAGCTGCACAGATTTTCCAAGACTCTGCCTTGGTGACCCACCCTTTATCCAGCCCCCGAATAGAGGGAGAAGGCCAACTTATGAGATCGCTAAGAAATCCTTTCACGTGGATAGCCCTGTTAGTCCCGTAGCACCTAGACTCCAGTCCCGTAGTACCTTAATGACCAACATGATTTCCAGGGCATTAGCTTTCCCTTTGTCAGATACCAAAGAAATCCTGAATCTACGCCGGGCCAAGCTGAGCAGGTACAGGGGAGGGGCCGTGGCTCAGTGGCAGAACATCTGCTTGGCATGCAGAAGGTCCCAGGTTCAATCCCCGTTATCTCCAGTTAAAAAGACCAGGCAGGAGGTGATGTGAAAGACCTCTGCCTGAGACCCCGGAGAGCTGCTGCCAGTCTGAATAGACAATACTGACCTTGATAAGAACATAAGAGATGTCAATGTTGGATCAGGCCAAAGGCCCATCCAGTCCAACACTCTGTGTCACACAGTGGCCAGAAATACCAGTGCCATCAGGAGGTCCACCAGTGGGGCCAGGACATTAGAAGCCCTCCCACTGTTGGCACCCCCCCAAGCACCAAGAAGACAGAGCATCACTTGCCCCAGAGCCCCTATCTAGACCTTGTGGCTAATAGCCACTGATGGACCTCTGCTCCATATGCTTATCTAATTCCCTTTTGAAGCCGTCCATGCTTGTAGCTGCCACCACTTCCTGTGGCAGTGAATTCCATGTGTTAATCACTCTTTGGGTGAAGAAGTACTTCCTTTTATCCGTTCTAACCCGACCGCTCAGCAATTTCATGGAGTGCCCACGAGTTCTTGTATTGTGAGAAAGGGAGAAAAATACCTCTTTCTCTACCTGCTCTTTCCCATGCATAATCTTATAAACCTCAATCATGCCACCCCTCAGTCGTCGACCAGTTCAGTCTGATTCAGTATAAGGTAGCTTCAGTTTGTGTTCACACTTTGCTTCCTCAAGAACGGCCTTACATCACCAGGGCAATTAAAAGGGAGTCCAGGCCTTCGGGCACCTGCTCAAAACCAGGGCAAAGGGATTCTCACCCAGAGAGGCCAGGGTCTCATAATTCTCCAGCATGACTTCCTCATACAAAGTTCTCTGGTCCGGATCCAGCAGAGCCCACTCCTCCTCCGTGAAGCACACGGCCACGTCCTCGAAAGACACCAGACTCTGAATGAAGAAGGAAAACATTCCCTTGTTGACTGAGAAGGGTGCAGAAATTAGTTTATAACCTGAGAGGCCGGTGAGATAAAGAGGCATTTTCTCCCAAAGAGTTTAAGGTAACAAACTTAAGAGTTCAGTGGCTCTCCCTGATGTTTCGGGAGTTCTGGCCCCACTGGTGGAACTCCTGATGGCCCCTGGGTTTTGGCCACTGTGTGACACAGAGTGTTGGATTGGGTGGGCCACTGGCCTGATCCAACATGGCTTCTCTTATGTTCTTGTGAAGTTGTTTCATATAATGTGAGTGAGCCACGTGGGGTAGTGGTTAAAGTGTCAGACTGGGGTTCAAATCCCCACTCTGCCATGGAAGCTTGCTAGGTGAGCTGGGCCAGTCACACATTCTCAGCCTAACCTACCTCACAGGGGTGTTGTAAGGATGAAACAGATAAAAGGACGTAAGCCACTTGGGTCCCCATTGGGAAAAAGGTGGAACAGACTCTACTACTTTACACAGAGGGTGTGTTCAGACGCGCCGTTTGAACCGCTTTCGGCACGCTTTAGTAACGGATTTTATCTGCACGACCATGCAGTCAACATCTGCCTCCTGTCCCCAGTCGTTGGTTTCCGGCTCAAAACCGTTTTAACCTGGAGTATTTTGTTACCAGGTCCCAAAGTGGTGTTTTCTCAGCTCTCCCATTTAAAGCCGCATTCCCCCCCGGTGTGATCGCTCCTCCGGTGTCGAGACACTTCCGGTTTAAACCCCCTCCCCGCTCGAAAGCTGCCCGAGGCTTCCGCTTTTCGCCCGCCATTTTTTTTAATGCATTGGCGGTGTGCGCATAGGTGGAGCTCCGCCACCGCGTTTAGAAAACCAACATTTAAACGATCACTTTCGGCCATTTTCGGGTCAAACATTTAAAGGGAAGTCTTTTGTTGGAAGGGTTGGATTGATTCACCCTGGTGGTTCTGTGCATGCGCCATGATAGTTTCCCCCCTTTCTATGGAGGGGCGCCTATGCACACGCGCAAACTGAGGAAAATTTTTTTTAAAAACCACCAACACACGCTCCCGCACTTCGGTAGTGTAGATGCCAGGGAGTGACGTGACTGCGTGGTGAGGCGAGATAAGGGAGGCAAGTGTGATTGCAATTATCCAGATCAAATATAATCCGGTTAGAACCAGAGCAGTTTAACCCACTCTCAGCACGCCGTCTGACCACACCCAGAGAGTGGCCACAGGAATAGACAGCTTTAAAAGGGGATTAGATAAAATTCACTGAGAATAGGTCTATCAGTGGCTCCCAGCTATGCTGGCTGAGGGGAACCTCCACATTCAGAGGCACTAATCTTCTGAATCCCAGAGCCAGGAGGCAACATTGGAGGAAGGCCTTGACCTCTCTGCCCTGTTGTTGGCCCTCCAGAGGAACTGGTTGGCCCCTGTGTGAGACAGGAGGCTGGACTAGTTGGACTATTGGTCTGATCCAGCAGGGCTCCTCTTATGTTCTAATGTAAATAAATAAGTGGAGAAATTTTGTGGTAGTAGGGGAACAACAGGGAAATAAGCTTCTCTGCCATAGTAGAACAGCAAAGATTTACTGACAGCCTAAGGGGGTAAGTCAGTAGCAGTTGATCTGGAAAACTGACCACCAAGATTTGGGGGTTATGTAAGCAGGAAACTGTTCAGCAACTATTGAACCAGACTGTTACAGTCTAGGGTGGGGGTATTTTCACCTCCCTCTCCCTAAACCTGAGGAACAGGAAAACATTTGGGCACACATCATCTCTCTCCCCCCATACCTGAAGTTCCCCCACCATTTCCCCATAAAAATCAAAAGCTGGTTCTCAACTTCCCTCCGCATTCCAAAACCCACAGAAGGCACTGGCCATTTTTTTAATCTGCTTACAAATTAACACTTTGCTGCATACATAGAAAGTCATGAAAGTTTAATACTTGACAATTTTACAAAAAGTCACCCAGGTACGCAGAAAACTCTGCTTAGCTGCATCTCCTTCAAGCAACTGAGAGAAATGAACATTGGGGGGGGGGCAAAATTCATCTCACAACAGCCTTGTGAGGAAGGATAAACTGAGAGTGTGCCACTGGCACACTGAACATCCTAGCTTAGCAAGGACTTGAACCCAAGGCCCCTCACTTCAAGCACAACACTTTGTGCTCTAGGCCTCACTGTTTTTCACGTGTGCATATTTTATGCACAAGCCCCTATTGTGCATTTGTTACACCTTAAGCCAAAACAAAGAAGTAAGTCAGGGTCCCCAAACTCCTTGAGCCTGTGGGCACCTTTGGAATTCTGGTACAATGTGGTGGGCACAGCCACAAAACGGCTGCCACAAAACAGCTGGTACTGGAGGCAGAGTCAGCCACCTTCGATCAGTGAGGGTGTTTGTGCTATGGAGGCAGCTGCTGCCAAGGTAGGGTTGCCCCCCCCCCAGTGGATCCAAGGGATTCCCTGATTTTGGGCCCCCCAATCTGCCACAGTCCAGCTGGCCAGTGGGGAAAGCTCCAGCACTGAGAAGCCCCTTTTCCACCACCACTAGTGTGATGAACGTCACCCAGGAGTGACGTCATCGTGTTTCTGACATCAGGGGTGACATTCTAGGTTTAAGGCTAAACTCTATGGTTTTGTGGCCAAAAAACTAATAAGAGTTTTGCCCGAAATCTAGAGAGTGTCGCCTCCAATGTTGGAAACATGATTATGTCATTTCTGGTGATGTCATTGCAGCGTGCGTGCTCCAGAAAATCTTCCAGGAGGGACTGGGAGGCCTCCCACCAGCAGCCAGGTAGGACCTGGCAACCGTATGCCAAGGCAATGTTTTTTAGAAATCTGCAAACTTGCCAACCAAATCTCCAACGGCCATTCAGAAGCTCTGCTGGGCAAAAGCTCTATCTAGCCCCGCCCACTTTCTAGAAACACTCAGCAGGTGCCCCAAAAAAGTGCCGGCAGACACCACGGCACAAAGAGGCCCCACACCGGGCGTCCTTGAAGTAAGTTCCCTTCTCTGTAGTCCCAGAACCCAGAAGGAGGAGGAATCCCAAATGCTTCCCGGACGAGCTACCTGAGGATTCTCGCCTACCGGATCTGGCTCCATAGAGGCTGGTCCCACTTCGCCACAAAGAGGAGGTAACTCAGAAAGCGATGTTGTTTCAATGTCTGGGAGAGAGGAAAGTACAGTCAGCTCTCCCAAACGCAGCGCCGGAGGATATTGAAAAGCAGCAATGTATTTTCCAGGGGAAACTGGTAATGGGAGGTAAAGGTAAAAGTTCCCATGCTCAAAAGCCAGTCGAGTCCGACTCTAGGGTTGCGGTGCTCATCTCCGTTTCCAAGCCGAAGAGCCAGCGCTGTCCAAAGACGTTTCCGTGGTCATGTGGCCGGCATGACTAGACACCAAGGCGCACGGAACGCTGTTACCTTCCCACCGAAGTGGTACCTATTTATCTACTTGCAATTTCTTGCTTTCGAACTGCTAGGTTGGCAGGAGCTGGAACTAGAGACGGGAGCTCATTCTGTCTCACTGCTGAACTCCTGACCTTCCACAGCCTGCAGTTCAGCGTCTTAACCACTTGAGCCACCGCAGCTCCTTGCTGGGATGGGTAATGGGAACATCATGGTAATTTAAGCACAGGTTGTCCTTACCTAGTGTGGTGTTGGAAACGGGATGCTCTGGCACCATACCTCCGATCAGAAGTCTCTGATGGGCTTCGGATGGAGTCTTTTCTACCGCAAGAGAATGAGGAACCATGTCCACAAACATCCTGTGTACCTGAAACAGGGTCAGGACCAAGGAGAGGGGTTAGAGGGACAGAATCCCTCTCTTGACCTGTTTTGTCTCTCTGTCTAGCACCCTTTTATTCCACCTTTCTTCCAACGATGTCAGAACTCACCTTTTGCCCATTTTGTCCTCACAACAGCCCTGCAAAGTAGGTTCGACGTCCAAGGAAAAAGGATTGGTAAGTACAGAATCACCTAGTGGTGTATGACTACTACACTGCTCTCCACTCCTCAAAAATCCCCCCCTGCTGTTATCAAAATCACGGGGCTTGCCTGGAAGGGGCCAGAAATCACCCAGAGATGCTGCACTCCACCCCTGAACCCAGGGAAGGAGATACCTGCAGAGGGCGTAAGCGCGCATCTGCACAGCACCCGTTAGAGATGCTCCCCATTCTCTGTCCTGCGGAACTACCTGCAACCATGTTCTCTCACCTGCCGCCCATCCTCTGCCTGGCTCAGGAGGAAACCTTCCTCCTGGGGGCTGCTCTCCGGCCCACCTTCTCCGAGCCAATTCTTCATGCCCGCGGGCAGGATGTACTCCACCTTCTGGGGGAAGACCCGCTTCAGGTCTGATCTGCAGCCTCCGAATGCCACAGGTGGACCGGAGCCCGGCCAGGGAAACGACTGCCCCCACAACTCACACCACGGAGGGATCCAGCCTTGCGCCCCGCAGAGCTCAGGAGGATGCGCTTAAATTGCAAGCACGCAATTCCTCCGGGCGCGCTTTAGAAAGGGGCGCAAATTTTTACCCACGTTTGCGTCTGTTGCAACGCGAGGCGTTTTTCTGCAGACCCCGAAGAACAGCCATTCTCTCCCCCCAGGAAGGGTGGGCCGCCGGAATTTCCCCTTCCCCAGGCCGGGGCCTCCGCTTTTCCTGTCTCTATGGAGGCCGGAGCGCATTTGCCTTGGATTTAACCATGAGAGGGCCGAGCCGCGGCGTCCGCAGATCGCTGGAGGAAGGATCCGGCTTGCAGAGAGATGCACTGCGACGAGACGCTTGCTGCGTCTGTCCGGCTGCCTATTATTCACACTCTCCCTTGGGAGGGGAGCTGGCCGTGCAGGAAAACCACCACTCCACGCTGAGCACAGCCTGTTGTTTCCTAAGGTTTTTAATGGGGCTCACCCCCCCCCCCCAAGTATGCGGGCCTAGGGAAGGCACCTGGGGTGTTATCCCATCCATCCATCCGTTATTATGGAGAAATTCTGGAGCAAATGGGTCCCGATACCCGAGTGTACTAATTCATGGTCAACTAGTAGTTAAATCAGCAGAAATCGGCTTCCTAGAGAGGGCGCAAGGGGGATGTCAGCTGTGGGTGCACCATCCGCCCAACCCCCTTATGTCTGCAAAATAGGCTTGTGGGTTTTTCTCTGGAGAAGCTGCGGATTTGATTCCCCCCCCCCCCAATGCAACTAGGAGCTGCGGTGGCTCAAGTGGTTAAGACGCTGAACTGCAGGCTGTGGAAGGTCAGGAGTTCAGCAGTTCGAGACCCGGGTGCCGCATGCCGGAGTGAGCTCCCGTCTCTAGTTCCAGCTCCTGCCAACCTAGCAGTTCGAAAGCAAGAAATTGCAAGTAGATAAATAGGGACCACTTCGGTGGGAAGGTAACAGCGTTTCATGTTCGTTGCATCTATGACACCGTCTAACCATCTCATCCTTTGCCGTCCCCGTCTTCTTTGACCTTCAGTCTTTCCCAGCATCAGGGTCTTCTCCAGGGAGTGCTCCCTTCTCATTTGGTGGCCAAAGTATTTGAGCTTCAGTTTCATTATCTGGCCTTCCAGGGAACAGTCAGGGTTGATTTCTTTTAGGATTGACTGATTTGATCTTCTTGCAGTCCAAGGGACTCTCAAGAGTCTTCTCCAGCACCATAGTTCAAAAGAATCTATTCTTCGGCGCTCGGCCTTCCTTATAGTCCAACTCTCACAGCCATACATGACTACTGGGAATACCATTGCTTTGACCATGCGGACTTTTGTTGGCAGGATGATGTCTCTACTTTTTATCATGCTGTTTAGGTTCGCCATCGCTTTCCTCCCAAGGAGCAGGCGTCTTTTAATTTCATGGCTGCTGTCACTGTCTGCGGTGATCTGGGATCCCAGGAACGTGAAGTCTGTCACCACTTCCACGACTTTCCCTTCTATTTGCCAAGGACTGATGGGGCTGGATGCCACGATCTTAGTTTTTTTGATATTGAGCTTCAAGCCCACTTTTGCCCTTTCCTCTTTTACTCTGAGCAAGAGGCTCTTTAGGTCCTCTTCACTTTCTGCCATTAGAGTGGTATCATCTGCATATCTGAGGTTGTTGATCTTTCCCCCAGCAATCTTAATTCCCGCTTGTGATTCATCCAGGCCAGCATTTCGCCCGGATCCTCAAGGGAACCTATGGTTGCCGTTACTTTGGATATAATCCTATCACGGGTGTGGGTGTGAGTGGTGGGTGTGGTTTGTATGTGTGTTTAAAGTGGCCTCTGGCCAGCGACTGTATCTCAAGTTTTCCTAACTCTTAAGTAAAGTGTGAGCTGAAATCACTACGCTTTGCTTCGGTCTCAGTACTTTATACAGGGTCTCTGGCAGAGGTCTTTCATGTCTCCTGTGACCTGATCCTTTTCAAGTAGAGATGCCAGGGACTGAACCCGGGACCTTCTGTATGCCAAGCAGAGGCTCTACTACTGAGCCACGGCCTCTCCCCTCCTGCAAGGCCCCCTCTGCCTTGGTGAAATACACAGCCCCTCCTTCAAAGGACACCAGTCCCCAAGAGGACACTTGGCCTGAAAGCAGAAATTAACAGCCCTGACCTAGACGGCCCAGGGTGGCCTAATCTCATCAGATCTCTTTCCTAGTGCATTTTTTTAATTATTCCCCTTCTCCCCTGCATTTAGGCTTTCTTTCCCTCTGTGTCTGCACCTCCCGTGGCAGTAATTTGACAGTATTTGGTTATATTACTGGCAAGATGTCAGTGAGTCATGAGCGGAAGTGTCAGATCATACGGATCTAGTTTGACAGTCTGGTGTCAGGTGACTAAAAGATTGCATCAGATTTCTAGAACAGTAACTATGACTCAGCTATTGTAATTGCTGGAACCTGATTGGTTGGTGTGAATATATATTGCAGCTTGTTCAGTACTGTACATCTCTGATTTGGGATCAACTGCCTGCGTAGCACTTTGTCGCTCTGTATAGTGAATTTGCTACTGAAGGACTGTGTACTTGTATCCAGTGTCCAGTGTAAATAAGTGTAAATACTCTGTATATAAAGAAACAGAGACTCTGCTATTGTTCACGGCGTTCTAAAATACCGTCATAATTTTGTGGCTGTGCCCAGGGCCCACCACTCTGTCTTGGAATCCCAAAGGTGCCCACAGGCTCAAAGAGGTTGGGAACCCCTGCTCTAACGGCTACACTACACCGGCTCTTGTTTTTATAGCTCTGTGTTTATAGCCTCTCATTCTCACTGAGAGCAAGACGAGATGACACAGCATAAATCAATGCAATTAGTGGGATGAGGCAGCATATTAGGACTGCGATGAAAGAAGTTGGAAACAATCATAGAGTATTAGACATGAGCCAGAATGTAGGCACAGTGCAGAATCATTAGATACCTCCTAGAAAAATGGTATTTACATCAGCAGAAAATAATGTAGTGAAAGCAAGATAATATAAGTTTTAAATAGTACACAGGGGAGAGCAAGAGTCCAGTAGCACCTTAAAAGACTAACAAAATTCGTGGCAGGGGATGAGCTTTCGTGAGTCACGGCTCGCTTCTTCAGATAATAGTGACTCACAATGGCTGCTACCCTGCCACAAATTTTGTTAGTCTTTAAGGTGGCTCCTGGACTCTTGCTCTTGTCTGCTACTGCAGACAGACTAACGCAGGCCACATGGCTACACATAGAATCATAGAATGTTAGAGTTGGAAGGGACCTTGCAGGTCATCTAGTCCAACCCCCTGCACTCTGTAGGAGCATAGCCAAAAGATAGCGCTACATACCTACAACATACCTGAAAGATGGTCGTCAAGCCTCCGCTTGAAAACGTCCAGCGAAGGAGCATCCACCACCTCCCGAGGCAGACTGTACCACTGCTCAGCCACTCTTACAGTTAGGAAGTTTCTCCTGATATTTAGCCGGTAACGACTCCCTTGTCATTTCCACCCATTAGATCTAGCCTTGCAATCCGGAGCAAGAGAGAATAGATCTGCTCCATCTTCTACACGACAGCCCTTCAAATACCTGAAGACTGCAATCATGTCCCCTCTAAGCCTTCTCTTTCCCAGGCTAAACATACCCAACTCTTTCAGCCTTTCCACGTAAGACTTGGATTCCAGCCCTCTCACCATCCTGGTTTCCCTCTTCTGGACCCGCTCGAGCTTGTCAACATCCTTCCTAAAATGTGGTGCCCAAAACTGGACACAGTACTCCAGGTGGGGCCTGACCATAGCAGAATAGAGCGGAACTACCACCTCCCGTGGTCTGGACACAATGCTTCTGTTAATGCATCCTAAGATTGCTCTAGTACATCTTGCTCTAGTACACAGATAATACTTCCTTTATACATTGATATAGTCCACAGTCCCTTTCCCTTTATAAACCCCCCTTTTGGGCCATTCTGTTATGGTAACCAGTGTTCCCTCTAAGCTGAGTTAGTGTGAGCTAGCTCACAGTTTTTTAGCCTCTGGCTCACACATTTCTGTCTCAGCTCAGGAAGGAGGGCTCCAGAGCAAACTAATTTATGCAGGAGCCAAATCGCTCGCTCACTAATGCCAGTAGCTCACAAAGTAGAATTTCCGCTCACAAGACTCCACAGCTTAGAGAGAACATTGACGGTAACTATGGTTGCCAACCTCCAGGTGAGGCCAGGAATTCTCCAGGAACTAAGACTGACCTCCAGACTCCTGGGACCATAGAGGAAACAGCAGCTCCGTAGAGTGGGCTCGATGGCATCACGTTCCAGCTGAGCCCCCTCCTCTTGTCAAACTGCCCTCCCCAGGCAGCACCCCAGGTCTCCAGGAATCTCCAAGCCAGACTTGGCATCCCTAAGTCCTATTGCTTTTAGAAAAGCTCTCCTGGACAATTCCGTTTTGCATGGTTTGTCGAGGGCCAGAAGTACCAGCAGATGAAGAGTTTTCAAGAACTTAGAAGCACATGCAAGATTTCGTGTTGTTTCGAGCGGCTTTTGTCTTGGGATTTTCGTACCGAGCCGGTTGCTTTCGAATGGCAGCCGGAATAGAGGGCTGGGTATGTATGTGTAACTCTTCGACTTTTGTCCCCGTTTCTTTCTTTCACGCTAGCTCTATGGTAATCAGAGAAAGAGATTTCCTGTTCCGCCCAGCTGGGGAGGAGAATCCGTCGGGCGAGAAAGCTGGAGGCTGATGTACCAAGGAAGGGAAGCAAAGAGTTAAAGCAGCAAAATTTGGAAGGTGGGTGGGAAAAGATCCTGGGGGAGAGAGTCACAGAAATGAGTGTTATTTATGGAATGACCTCCCGGGTTAGGAAGACTTTGCAAACTGCAAAGTGGTATTATTGAAGAGGGCTTTTTGCACAGTTTAATGAAATGGTCAGAAGGTTGCATTGGTAAAGGGATAGGGGCTGTGGTTTACACCCCTGCATTGCTACCTTCAGGTGGGGTAGCCGTGCTGGTCTGAAGCAGCAGAACAAAGTTTGAGTCCAGTGGCACCTTTACGACCCACAAAGTTTTATTCAAGGTATAAGATCTGAAGCAGTGTGCTTGCACCCGAAAGTTTATCTGAAGAAGTATGCTTGCACATGAAAGCACAGGAGAGCCAGTTTGGTGTAGTGGTTAAGAGTGCAGACTCTAATCTGGGAGAACAAGGTTTGATTCCCCACGCCTCCACATTCAGCCTGCTGGGTGACCTTGGGTCAGTCACAGCTCTCCCAGAGCTGTTCTCTCAAGAGCAGTTCTCTCAAGAGCTCTCTCAGCCCCACCTACCTCACAGGGTGTCTGTTGTGGGGAGGGGAAGGAAAAGGGGATTGTAAACTGCTCTGAGACTCCAAGTGAAGGGTGGGGTATAAATCCAATCTCCTCCTCCTCCTTGAATAAAACTTTGTTGGTCTAAAAGGTGCCACTGGGTTCAAACTTTGTATTGCTACCTATATCTGTAAGTATGCGGAAGACTAGGTAGTTTCTATACCATCTAACACAGTACATTTAAAAGCTCATGATTTGCTTCAGCGTCGTTTGAGATTTCTGTTTTTTTCAGATTTCTGTAGTCCCAATCCCATTGTACGGTTCATTGGATGTTTCATCCTGTTGATTATACTTGACTTACACTATGCAATCTGCCTTTGAGTCTTGGCAAGAAAGCTGAGCTATCAATAACCTAATAATAATAATAATTCCGGGGGGGTTGCCATCTTAATCTGTTGACTGGGGCAGGATGGGGGGGCATGACTAATTGCGGGTGTGTGTGTGTCAGAAAGTTCCTCTCTCTGCAGGAGCTCTTGTGCTCACGTTGTACAAGATCCAAGCCTTTTTTACTGCCACTCTGGAGCACTTGGCTCTTTCCTATATCTGCTGCTTTTAGCTCCAGTTCTCTCAAGGAAGCTGCATTGTTTACAGTCTCTTCTCACCACCCCGCCCCCTTTTTGTATATTTTGTTGACCGCCTTCTCTTACAGTTCCTGAAAATTGAGAGCTGCTTTTGGTCCTCTTCATCTGTGCCTCTGAGAGTGAAGCCTATAACTCCAACCTTATTAGAAAGGGCAATGTTTTCCCCAAAGTCTGGGTTGAATATATTGCAAACTGAGAAATTTTAGCCATGTGAACTGGGTTCAAAAAAATTCGGGTGGAATCTTAATGAGATTGCAAAGGCAGAATGAAGGTGTGAATCTTTGGTGGGCCAGGAAAGGCCCTGTGAAGCCGACTTATACTGGATCAGATCCTTTGTCCATGAAGGTTGGTATTGTCTACTCAGACTGGCAGCGGCTCACCAGGGTCAAAGGTAGAGTTCCTGTTGCTGGGTCCCTTTTTAACCTGGGATGCTGGGGATTGAACCTGGGACCTTCTCAATGCCAAGCACATACTCCATCACTGAGCCACGCCCCCCCCCCTTTGCAGAAGCAAGTTTCGAACTGATGTTTCCAGGAGGGGAGGATGGGGGAGGACTGAATAGGCATGAGATCAGAGCAGAAAGATAGGTGGAAGGAAGTAGAAAGGAGGAGGAGGAGGAGGAGGAGGAGGAGGAGGAGGAGGAGGAGGAGATTGGATTTATACCCCACCCTTCACTTGGAGTCTCAGAGCGGCTTACAAACTCCTTTCCCTTCCCCTCCCCACAACAGACACCCTGTGAGGTGGGTGGGGCTGAGAGAACTCTGACACAAACTGCTCTTTTTCAAGGACAGCTGTGCCAGAGCTTGTGACTGACCCAAGGTCACATCAGCAGGTGCAAGTGGAGGAGTGGGGAATCAAACCCGGTTCTCCCAGATCAGAGTCCGCGCACTTAACCACTACACCAAACTGGCTCTACACCAAATCACAAGTGTCTTCCCCTTTCTGTGTCATTACAACTGTGGTCTACAGTGTATGGATTAGGACCTGTCTCTGAGAGGACCGGTGGGAGGGCAAAGTCAGGTCACTTGATGGCTTCAGAGACTCTGGCTCTTCCTGACACATGACCGTGAGGGCTCATAGCTTATTATTAATTTATTTAATTAGGGTTTGGTTTTTTTTTAAACCGCCATTCCCCGTTTACGTGGAGCTCAGGGCGGTTCACAACAATTTGGGTTTTACAATGTAAAATAAGTTAAAACCATGAAAACACAATGTTGAAAACATTCAGAAACATTTACACATTTGAAAAACAAGATGGCAGTGCTAGCATTCAGTTGGGGGGGGGGTTTTGCCAGGCAAATGTAAAGAATCGTTGCTCAACCAAACGTAAAGAACCGTTGCACAACCAAAGACCTGACGGAATGTCTCTGCCTTACATACCCTGCAAAACCTTAATCGATCAGACAGGGCACGGATTTCACTCAGCAGAGTGTTCCGCCAGGTTGGGTCAAGGCCAGCCGGATATCTTTTGGGCCGGGGCCCACCAGAAGGTTCTTGTCCGCTGATCTCAATGCCCTTTGGGGGACATACCAGGAGAGGCGGTTGCGAAGGTACGTGGGTCCCTGACCATTAAGGGCTTTAAAGGTAAGCACCAAAACCTTGAATCTGATCCAGTCCTCCACCAGTAACCAATGCAGTTTGCGCAGCACTGGATGTATGTGCGTCCTCTGTGGGGTCCCCGTAAGGACCCACATATCAGTTGGAGCTTCCGGGTCAGTTTCAAGGGTAGCCCTACGTGAAGCGAGTTACAGTAATCCGGCCTTCTTGCCACATGCTTGCCATGGAATGAATTCCTTGCTGCTGCTGGGTGTTAAAGGTGACTTCTGTGTCTGGAAAGGTTGGAAAGACCTCTGTGGTAGAGTGTTTCTCAATAAGAACTAGCATCTTGAACCAAATAGGATTACGTAGGAAACTGGTACAGAAAACTGTTGTCTGGAGAATAAACATCTTCCTCTTACCTTTTTCTCCCTTGCAGGCGGTAAAATAGCATTGGTGTCACGTTCCAGATAATCTTTTCTTGTGGACGGAGGGAAAACAGCCGCTATGCAACTGGCTCAGGTAGGGAGACCAAGATCCGGCGAGGAACATTTTGGCTGCCTCCTTGTTTACTTAGGGTCTTAAAGGAAACTCTCTCTTTGGCCTCGGGTGCTGAACGATGTCTCCATGGGATGCGCACAAGCACCCAACGGAGCATGCGCACACTTCAGTTTTTTTTTAAAAAAAACACAACCCCGTTTACCACGCCACCTCGCTTCTTTGCCTGTGGTGTGATTGGCACCTCCCCCCTAACCACGGGACCTCAACGGGACCTCAACTGGACATCTGATCGCGCAGCCGCGCGTTATTTTGCTCCGGGGCAAACAGCCATGCTTCCCCCCCGCATTTTCCAGCCCGTGTGACCGGAGCCAAAATATATTTTTGGTCAAGCAGCATCAGGCAATGATAACATCCAGTCAGCACACCATCTTGCTGGAATCCTCTAGAAAATTCCCTCACCACTCCTGACCTCCCCCCTCTCATCCAGTGATTGCAGGTTCTCCTGAGAAGCTTTTACCACATTCCCAACTCTGGCCTTGAAGATGATAAGGACTATGTAGACCAGGACGTCAATTAGTAACACCTGCAGAGTGCACCGAAATAGTAGCAAGGTTTCTTCTTAGTGCTATGGCTATACGTTCTGATTAGTAACCATTAGGTTTTTCTGCTTTTGTGCTGTTTTTCTGTGCCGTAGCTCCAATTGTACCCTATATGGATTTGTATTATCCGATCTATATTTAATCTGATCTCCTATTGTATGTGTATACCTATGCCAATAAAGGCTTGTCAAATGTAATGTAAACCTGCAGAGTGCCATTACCATTCAGATCAACCCTTGAGAGGGAAAGTCAGGGGTGCTTTGCCTCAGAGGGGGGCCAGGTGCTCTTCCTGGGGAGGTTGTTCCACAATGGCGGAGCTGTCACTGAAAAGGCCCTGTCTTGGGTACCCACCAGATGAGCTTCTTTGATTGACAGCATGGTCAGAACGGCCTCTCCCTGTGATCTTAGTTTCCAGGCAGGAACATACGGGAGAAGACGGTCCTTCAGACACCCAGGCCAGGTCCCAAGCCAAGTAGGGCTTTAGGGTTCTCTGACAGGTGTACAGTTACTGTGTACAGTTCTGGTCACCACACCTCAAAAAGGATACTATAGCATTGGAAAAAGAGCAGAGAAGGGCAACTAGAATGATAAAAGGGTTGGAACACTTTCCCTATGAAGAAAGGTTAAAGCGCTTGGGGCTCTTTAGCTTGGACAAACGACGACTGAGGGGTGACATGATCGAGGTTTATAAGATTATGCATGGGATAGAGCAGGTCGAGAAAGAGGAACTTTTCTCCCTTTCTCACAATACAAGATCTCGTGGGCACTCCATGAAATTGCTGAGCGGTCAGGTTAGAACGGATAAAAGGAAGTACTTCTTCACCCAAAGAGTGATTGATTAACACATGGAATTCACTGCCACAGGAAATGGTGGCGGCTACAAGCATGGACAGCTTCATGAAGGAATTAGATAAACATCAGGAGCAGAGGGCCATCAGTGGCTATTAGCCACAAAGTATAGATAGGGACTCTGGGGCAAGTGATGCTCTGTCTTCTTGGTGCTTGGGGGGCGGGGGTCAACAGTGGGAGGGCTTCTAATGTCCTGGCCCCACTGGTGGACCTCCTGATGGCACCTGGGATTTCTGGCCACTGTGTGACACAGAGGGTTGGACTGGATGGGCCTTTGGCCTGATCCAACATTGGCTTCTCTTATGTTCTTATGGGTGTCTGTTGCTAATAAATGCTTTCATTACCTCACCATGGCTTACCCAGTACTGGGCAGGTTCGCCCTCCCCTCCAAAAGACAGAGCTTCAGTCCTGTAGGGACATTCCAAGTTACCTCAGCTTCCATTTCCCTGCTCCCTTTCAGACCGTGAGCAAAAAGTGTCTGCGTGTTAAGCGGGGAGAGGGAACACTGTGAGGTGCGGATAACTTGTCTCTGAGGAACGTCTTTCTTCTTCCAGTCCCCAGTGGTCTTCAAGGAGGAAGCCCTGTATTCCCACGAGGGAGAATCATCTGTGCAGGATCCCAGCCAAACAGCTCTGCACAGGGACGTCAAGCTGGAGGACTGTGAGAGAGTGGCCCCTCTAGGTAAGAATTCCGCGTTGCCCTTTTAAGACCCAGTGTGGTGCAGTGTTCCCTCTAAGCTGAGTTAACGTGAGCTAGCTCACCGTTTTTCAGCCTCCGGCTCACAGATTTTTGCCTTCGCTCAGGAAGGGACGGCTCCGGAGCAAACTAACTGATGCAGCAGCCAAATCGCTCGCTCACAACTATAAAGCCAGTAGCTCACAAAGTAGAATTTTTGCTCTCCGGACTCCACAGCTTAGAGGGAACATTGGACTGTGGTATAACGGTTAGAGTGTCCGACTCGGATTTGGGAGACCCACGTCCTAATCCCCGCTCTGCCACCAAAGCTTGCTGGGCGACCTTGGGCCAGCCCCATCCTCCCAACCTCACTGACCTCACAGGGTTGCTGTGAGGATCGAAATGAGGAGAGGAGAATGAGAAAAGCTGCTTTGGGTCACGTTGTGCAGTGGGGAACCTGCAGTGAGCTGACGGGGCACCTCACTTTCCACTCTATTCCCCATCTCCAAACTATTTCCTGTTCCTGTCCTCTTTAGGGCTGCAGAAATCATATGCAACAACAATATTATGTGCAAAACCCATGGTACATGTACATACAAAAATTCAATACGAAGTTTTTAAAACCTTACATACTACAACTCTTGGTCTGTCTTTTCAACTAGTAGGTATCAAAAATCCATAATATTCACCGATGTATCTACGAAATGTAACAATAAAATGTAACACATCATCATAACCTGGTCACAATTAATTTATCCAACTCTACAACACATAATATTGTTGTTGCATATGATTTCTTAAGGTTTTCATTCATTCTCGGAAGAAGAATAGTATCGAAATGATAGAGCATTCCGGAGACCATCATCAACACATCATTTATTGTCTTGTATATTTATATAATTTTCTGCACACATTTTTGTACAATTTTGTGATTATTATTGAAATATTATCTAGCGCAGTTACCTCACAGTTTCTTTCTTCTTTTTGCGGGCTGTTCTGTGACTGTGACCATAATTTTTGAGCTATACTGCACACACTGCCATACGGTAATTATTATTACTCCCACATGTTCAGGAGCTTTGTGGACAACCCTGCCCCTCCTGACAGACTGCTCTTCCTTAATTTTTCCTACTTCCTTCTCTCCTTTCCACTCACCCACCCGCCTTCTATCTGCCCCCATTTTCATCTACACTTTTTTATGTATTTGCATTATTTAGACCCTGCCGTTCTCCACAATGGGGACCAAAGCAGCTTACATCATTCTCCTCTCCTCCATTTTACCCTCACAACAACCTTGTGAAGCAGGTTATGCTGAGTGTGTGTGACTGGCCCAAAGTCATCCAGCAAGCTTCCATGGCAGAGTGGGGATTTGAACCTGGGTCCCCCAGATTCTACTCTGAAACTCTAATCACTACACAGCATTGGTTATTACGGGGTGATTGCTGTTGAACAGTAGCAAGCAGCTGATCCTGGGTCATGCAAGTTGCCCAGTGACTGCTGCTGGGCCTGGCCACAATAAGTCCTCCCTGAAAGGCCAGAATAGGCCTAGAAAGTGCTCTTCCCCCTGCCTTTTACTGACAGAAACCAAGGCTTGAAGGCTGGCAATACTGTTGTGGTTGCCTAGCAACAGCCCTGGGAGCTTTCATTTCTTAAAGCTACAAGTGCTGCTTCATATCATTTGAAATGTTTTAAACCCCCCTCCCATTTTTGTTTTTAGATTTCAGTCCAGTCTCTGGATTTAATTGTCTACCAGTTTGCTTGTGCTGAGAATTAGATATATTGGTGGTAAACAATGCAGAAAATGGAATTATATAGGTAAAAAACGCTTTATAAAAGTGCCCATCTGAGCAATTCTGTGTTACTCAGTCTGAGGAATGATAGAAGCATGGGAGACTTCATGGGGTCCTTGGTCACCGTAAGGGTTCGTGGCATTGCTATGATCTGTCTCCATATAATATTTGGGTTGGGTCTGTGTGGTGTAAGTTGGGTGTGCAGATAAAATCATTGTCTGGGGTCTGGAAGGGATTTTGGCAGCCCTGTGGCACCTTTTCAGTTCTGAAGATGAAGGTTATTCTCTGGGGCTGTCTCTCTCCTATGAGAAACCAGATACCAAAACCAAATAGGTTTTGTTGTTGTTCAGTCGCACAGTCGAGTCCGACTCTTCGCGACCCCATGGACCAGCTCCCGCCAGGCCTTCCTGTCTTCCGCCGTTCTCTGAAGTTGGCTCAATTTCATGTTCGTTGCATCGATGACTCTGTCTAACCATCTCATCCTTTGCCGTCCCCGTCTTCTTTGACCTTCAATCTTTCCCAGCATCAGGGTCTTCTCCAGTGAGTGCTCCCTTCTCATTGGGTGGCCAAAGTATGTGAGCTTCAGTTTCATTATCTGGCCTTCCAGGGAACAGTCAGGGTTAAGGAACCATATTTATTTTAATTCTTCACAACTGTTGATTCAGTGTGATCAGAGGCTCATTTTTTTCAACTGCATCCGTAATCTGTATTTGTTTATTCCATCAGCTGCTGGTCAAATCAGCGAAGACTGCAAAGTACCCTGTGGGGCTTCATTGGAAAGGGTCGAAGGAGGAGAGGAAGAGGCTCTTGGGAATCAAGAGGAGTCGAGGGAACAGGAGGAAAGCCAAGCCCCAAACTGGAATATTAAATCCGTTGTTGGCCACAGTGAAGACGTCCAAGCCGATGGGATCTCAGTCCAACAGGACGGCCACGACGGACCGAGAAAGAATGAGTGCCCCATGTGTGGGAAAACATTCAGTTCTAAATCAAACCTGAATGCACACTGCAAAATCCACAGTGCAGAGAAACCGTATAAGTGCCTGGAATGTGATAAGAGCTTCAGTGATAGCAAAAGTCTTACTTTGCATCAAAGAATCCACACAGGAGAGAAACCCTATACATGTCTGGAATGTGGAAAGAGCTTCAGTCGGAGCACAACCCTCACGACGCATCAAAGAATCCACAGGGGTGAAAAGCCTTACAAGTGTGTGGAGTGTGGGAAAAGCTTCAGTGATAGCACCAGCCTTAGCTCCCATCAGAGAATCCACACCGGTGAGAAACCATTTCACTGTTCGGAGTGTGGAAAGAACTTTGCTTATAGCGCAAGTCTTACTACACACCAACGGATTCACACAGGAGAGAAACCTTATCAGTGCTTGGAGTGTGGGAAAAGCTTCAGTGATAGCACAAGCCTTAGCTCCCATCAAAGAATTCATACCGGAGAGAAACCATATAAATGCTCCGAGTGTGGGAAAAGCTTCAGTGAGAGCACAAAATTGACTTCGCATCAAAGAACACATGCTGGGGAAAAACCATATAACTGTTTGGAGTGTGGGAAGAGCTTTGCTTATAGTGCAACTCTGAGTAGACATCAAAGAATCCACACAGGGGAGAAGCCATATAAATGCCAAGAGTGTGGAAAGTGCTGCCGTGATAACGCAAGCCTTCGATCTCATCAAAGAATCCATACGGGAGAGAAGCCATATAAATGTTCAGAGTGTGGAAAGAGCTTCAATCAGAGCTCACATCTGACTGTACATCAGAGAATTCACTCAGGCGACAAGCCGTATAAATGCCTGCAATGTGGAAAGAGTTTTAGTAATACCACACACCTCAGTTCCCATGAAAGAATTCACACAGAAGAGAAACCATATCATTGTTCAGAATGTGGAAAGCGCTTCAGGTCCAGCACTGCCCTTACTTCACATCAAAGAATTCACACTGGAGAGAAACCATACAAATGCTTGGAGTGTGGGAAAAGCTTCCACAATACCACACATCTTAATTCCCACGAAAGAATCCATACAGGGGAGAAGCCATTCCATTGCTTGGATTGCGGAAAGCGCTTCAGGTGGAACAGAGCCCTTACTTCGCATCAGAAAATTCATACAGGAGAAAAGCCGTATAAATGCCTAGAATGTGGGAAGAGCTTCAGGTGGAGTGCTCACTTTACTGCCCATCGGAAAATGCACACAGCGAAGACAACAGAAAATGTGTAAGACTGTCATAAGAGCTTGTACATAAACTTCAGTGAAGATTTTTACTGAACAGTGAAGACATAAATGATTTGTTAGGGAAGAAACTAAGTGAGTGCTCAAATTTTGTAGCACATTTTTTTATCCTGTCTTTCCCTCAAGGATATCAGGGTGTTTTATGTGGTTCTTCCTTCCTCCATTTTATTCTCACAACAGTCCCATGAGGTAGGTTAGGTTGACACTGACTAGTCCCAGGGTTGCTCTGTATGTTTCATGACAAGCAGGAATTTTAAGCTGAGTGTCTCTTGTTCTAGTCCAATGCTAAGTTCTACTAACCACTGACTCTTTCATTAAAAACTAGAGAATCCACACGTGAAGATCCCTGGAAATGCCCAGGCATTATCTGACACTTTTATGTGGCCTCCTCATAATGTTGATTGTAGATGGCTTAATAATTGTAACAGTTGCCCAAAAAAATTGACAAAAAGTACCAAGAGCTATGGGTTGTGTAAAGATTAAAATGGCACAGGCTGCACTCACATGAAATGAGACATCAACAGTGCAGTCCTTACTAGAGTTACATCTTCTAAGTTTGTTGCAGTCACTTGGCTTAGAACAGTGTAACTCTGTTTAGGACTGCACCATAAGAGTCACCTGAAGCCCTGGATAATTCACTGTATCTTATTTAAAATGTACATACAGAAATGTGAAAGCACGCACGCACACACATACACACCCGGGCCATTCAGCACAGCTTCGGTCTTTGATGTCAGAAATTCATCAAAAGTTTTTTTCAGATCAAACCTTTGCTTTCAGGAAGTAGAGTCACACGTGTACTATATCTTCACTATTAGGTGAAAGGGTTTGGAGAATCTTTGAGCCGTTCTCTTTAGACAGAGAATCCAACTGCCACAATTTTCCATTAAAGCAACTGCAGGCTTGTGTGTCTTTCTTAGTTCCCGTGGAATTAATCAATGAACTGGAAGAAGTCTGTTCATGTATTTTATCTTCTCAA